TCATGGCTGAGAAATCCTGTTATAAAGTCTTACCTCCCTGACTCATTATCCCTCCTTTCTGCTTTAAAGGCATGCTTAGTGAAAGTAACATCATCATCATCATCATCATCATCATCATTATATTATATAAACTTTAAACGACTTTCAAAACTCGCTGCGTGCCGACACTTCTGCACAAAAGGCTGTTACTCCGGTTTCACGGTGCATGAGCGGTGCCTATTATGTCGGCGTGCATGCAAACAACCAACCGGGATTCACACAGGAGTGCGTGAGGCGCGCGGGAATGGTTTTCCGCGCGCATGCGTCAGTTTGCTTTCACCAGCATTGAACCAGAGGGGGAGAGCTACGTCAGTAACACCAACAATAATTTAGTGACTGCATTTTATTTATTTATATATGTGTTTATTTATTTATCTAAATATTGGGAATTTATGAGTTCATTTAAATCAATAATGTCAACCGCAAAATTATATTGGGGTGGCCACAGGGGTGGCCAGAGTTTACCGAGGGGTGGCCGTGGCCACCCCTGGCCACCCCTTGGAGGCGCCCCTGCTTGCCATACGCTCTCACTCAGCAGCACAGTGGAGAGTTCTCTAGTTATATCCTTTCAGTCGTTTGTTATGCAGTGACATGCAGTCAAATATTTCGCCAAACAGTCCTTAGGGATGCGGTGACACGCAGTCAGATATTTTAACGGGCAGATCCGTCACTTTTGGCGCTCATAAACAATTAAAGCTCTCGTGCTGCAGGAATGAGGAGGTTTGCTGAAGGCGCGCAGCTGGCGTGCTGTGAGGAGTTTGCGTCTTTAATAAACTACGGCAGTTTGCGATCACTGAACAGTAAGAATGATTAATAAATCCATATCAAACAGTCCCTTAAAAGTCACGTCTCGCTTTCAGTTTCGGGCTTTGGCGCGTTTCGCGCTCACACACAAGCGCAGGGCCGGATTAACCAATGGGCCTTATGGGCACAGGCCCAGGGGCCCGTGCGCACTAGGGGCCCCTGCGAGGGGGGAGAAAAAAAAAGACAATTTCGGAGTGTCTTTTTTGGCTAATTGCAAATAGCGCATTTAGTTGGAATAAGCTATTCAGGGTTTACGCCCATCGATGCCTCATTGATAGAGACAAGATGAGTAGAGAGCTGTGAATCATAACAGCCGCAGTGGCGCACCTTGTAAGGCGCACAACAGCATCTTTTGACGCTATTAATCAAAAACTCGGTTCGAATCCACCATCAGCTAAACTCGTGCTACTTTTTTTTCTCCCCATTACATATCAGATTGGAAATATATTTATTTTTAACAGGAAGGAAACATTTTTTTAAAATAATGCAAATGTGATATAAAGTCACAAGTGCCTCGTGGGTATTTAATAATGTTTAGCCTTTTTATAGGTGCCTCTTTCTCTGCAAAAAAACTATATTGCTCAGACAACTGTATTTCCTCTGAGCAAAAAAAAAAATCGCGATCACATATTAATATTATTAGTATATTTAAACTGCCTTTTTTTCATTAACTAAACAGAATGCTGTAATTGGTCAAGCGCGGAAACGTCAGTTTTGTAATACCCGCACTAAACTGAGCGGACTGTAGTGTAACGTTAGTATTTGTCATAGATCAAAAATGAGTGAACAAGTGGATTTAGCAAACGCAAGAGAAAGAGGAGAGGAGGCATCTTTATTGAGGCATTTTCCATACACACCATCTTTAAACAGACCCATGATCAGGAGAATGAGGGTACAGAAGAAGACGTTATGGTAACTTTAAATGATGAGTAGCTATTAACCAGGCGGAGGAGGCTAACGGCAGCGCAGCGCGGACTGGATTCATCGTGTGAGAGACAGACAGAAAAGGAGAGAGAGAGAGAGAGAGAGAGAGGGAGAGAGAGAAAGGCCCAGAAGAGGAGAGAGACGGGAGAGAAGAGGTATAGTGTGTGTGATTTCGGATACTTTTAGGTTTATAATCAAGTCTTCATCACGAGAAGAGTAGAGAAAATACAGGGAGAGGAGGAGAGAGACAGTAATATATATATATATATATATATAGTTTTATTAGTATTTTTATTCAATGCTTTAAGTAAGTTAAATAATGCTTTAATAAGTTAAATCTTTGTAGACTATAAATACATATGTACTATATATCATTTATTTAAATATGTGTGCAACAAATTATAGAATCATTTTATTTAAAAATTATTATATTGTTCAACTATAGGGGTGCGGCCAGGTAGGGGGCCTTACAAGACAATGTGCCCAGGGGCCCCTGAGTTCTTAATCCGGGCCTGCACAAGCGTACCGCGCCAAAGCCCAAGTGATCCGCGCTCAGGCACACCTCTTCCAACCGGGCCAGGGCCGGCCAAGTGAACCGTGCTTGAGCCCGATTCAGCGCACTCACACTTCTCAAACGATCCGGGAAACGGGCCTGGGCACGGTACGGATGGCATAGTGTGAGTAGGCCCTTAAGGTTTTTGGGGGACAACTTAATTGTTTCATATTCAATTTACTTAAATTTGTGAAAACAATTAAGTTAGCTTAATTGTGTGGTACACAGCATTTTTACAGTGTAGGAAGAACTACTCAATTAACTTCACAGAGCTTAACCCTTTCATATAAGTTCTAAATACTTTTGCTGTTCCGTGTGAGTTTTTTATGTGAATTTATTTAGAACACAAGCCTAGGAGAAACGGATAAGTGGGCAGAGCTAAAGTTTTTTTTTAGTGCACTTTGCTCACTGCGACTCTCCAATTGGTGTAATTTTCTCTACAGCATCATGGGTAATGTAGTTTTTCTGCTTGAATTTCTTTAGTAACCTAAACAATCGAGCAGATCATAAGCTCAACTGAAACACCAACTTTAAAGCTTTAAAACTAAACACTGAGAAACCACTAGAAGTGGTTGAGGTGAGCATTGGATAATTCACTGATTTGCACACTGAATATAAAATGACTGATTTCCTATGACAATGCTTGCAACACATGCATATGACGTATCATTGGGTCCAATTTACTCTGCAATTTACTACTGCATAACTGTTTTTTGTGCATGGTAGATGTTTTATTAGTTGCTTTGCCTTTAATCTGAACGTTTTCAGAAACCAAAGATTTCAAAACCTTTGCATACACTCACCGGCCATTTTAATAGGTACAGCTTACTAGTAATGGGTTGGACTCCCTTTTGCATTGTCTTAATCCATCGTGGCATAGATTCAACAAGGTTCTGGAGATATTCCTCAGATAGTTTGGTCCATATTGACATGATAGCATTACATAGTTGCTGCAGATTTATCATCTGCACATCCATGATGTGAATCTCCTGTTCCACCACATCCTAAAGGTGTTTTGTTGGATTGAGCTCTGGTGACTGTGGACGCCATTTGAGTACAGTTTCCTGTTCTTAGCTGACAGGAGTGGCACCCGGTGTGGTCTTCTGCTGTTGTAGCCCATCCGCCTCAAGGTTGGATGTGTTGTGCTTTCAGAAATAATCTTCTGCATACCTCGGTTGTAAAGAGTGGTTATTTGATTACTGTTGCCTTTCTATCAGCTTGAACCAGCCTGGCCATTCTCCTCTGACCTCTGGCATGAACAAGGCATTTGCGCCCACAGAACTGCCGCACACTGGATATTTTCTTTTTTCAGACCATTCTCTTTAAACCCTAGAGATGGTTGTGCGTGAAAATCCCAGTAGATCAGCAGTTTCTGAAATACTGAGACCAGACTGTTTGGCACCAACAACCATGCCACGTTCAAAGTCACCTAAATCATCTTTCTTCTCCATTCTGATGCTTGATTTGAACTGCAGCAGACCGTCTTGACCATTTCTACATGCCAGCATTGAGTTGCTGCCATGTGATTGGCTGATTAGAAATTTGCATTAACAAACAGTTGGAAAGGTGTACCTAATAAAGTGGCCAGTGGGTGTACATTTAATCCATTATAATTATCTTTTTTCAGCATCTTCACTGTTTTCAAAACAGCTTTCTGTGCTTTAGCGCCACCAGTCTAGCTCCTCCGTGCAACTGCAGTAGCTCCGGGCATGAAATCTAAAACGCAAATTGAACTGGATGACCTATTTTAAAGCAGAGGGACAGGGGAAAAATCAACAAACTTGTCAACTTGCTTCAGGGGTATTGAAGAAGATTTCTATTCTCTCAGTGTAAAGTATTTTCTAAGTGTAAAGTAGTTAATTTTCTCTTCACAAAATGTATGTAGTGTTTGCAGCAAACATGCCAGCGTGTGTTAAAAATACAGTGATATGTCTGTGTAAGATGAGTATGCCTACAGGAGCAACACTATGAGAAGGCTGAGTGACTGATTGTGTAGAATAACTGAATATGTAAAGCACTGATTATATAGGTTAAATACTTCTATGAAGCTATATGTGTCAGAAGTTAGAATGAGTAACATATTATCAAGTGATTATGCTTTCATGACAATGTATGTAAACACTTAATCCTTTGCATAAGTTGCATCTATACTTTGCTGACATAGACCTGTAACATCTCTGCTGACATGAGCTAGTGGGCTGAGAGCCAAGAATAGCAGGACCCCTTAGACTAAAAAACCTATTCAAAAATGGTCAAGAGTTAAAAAGAGACTTAGGGGTGTGTCAAATAATCCTGTATAAAGATTGTAACAAACACAGATACTTCAGAAGGTGCAGGAGAGACTTCAGAAGGTGTCCAGGAGAGACTTCAGAATGCTCTGGGGTCTGCTCTGCTCTTTCTCGGCTTTATTATGGAGAATAAAGTCTATTTTCTGATATTCAAAACCTCTGGTCTGATAATTTGTAATTAATGAGAAGTCAATATTTACGACAAATGCCGCCCAAAATCGTGGGGCTGGACAGAGACGGACGGGTGACACTGGACATGCTGGGGCTTGGAGGAAAAACACAAATATGTGGCCACGATAAAAAACGGTAAGCAATTTTAAGCTTATACGTTTGTGTTTTTTCTACCAAGGACCTGCTTGTAACGGTAAAAAGTCACTTGAACTGTTTCTCCAGCTATAACGAACTACAAGTAAAACTAAAAAAGTAAAAGTAAAGATATAAAAGGAAAACAATGGGGTTTTGAATACCAGAAGAAAATAACAATTTGCATGCAAATGATCTGTGTTTTCCTAAGAGGGCCTTGACGGATAGGATAAACGTTAACTAGTAACTGTTACTCATATTTGGGAAATTTTTAATATTATGAAGAATATGCATAGAGCATATTTATGTTTTAAAAGGAAGTTCTTAAAGTGTGGTGACAGTTAAGAGATTAAAGCAGATTAATAAAGTAGAGAGAAGCGCGCAAAGACCTCGGAGTACCCGTTCTGTTTTAATAATGATAAATATTATTATTCAGGAGGCTGGGGGAAAAAAGGCAAAAATCCTGTGAAATGCTATTTTTACTGAAGGACAGTAAAGACGGGAGCAGAAGTAACAGGCACTCAAGAGGAGTGTAGTGAAGAATTCTGTGGTTATAGCTCTAAGGTTAGAGGCTATTCGGACAGGTCACTCAAGAAGAGTGAGGTGCATTTATGTAATTGTAAGTATTTGTGTATTTGTCTGTGTTGCTGGGGTGCTTAGAAGCTTCACCTTTGATCTAGAGAGACTAGAATAGAGGTGAGGTTCAGGTTACACAGTGTAAGAGATGAGGTTAGGATGAGTGAGAAGTATGATTGTGTCTAGAAGTATGTTTGCAATAAGAGTGAGTTTAAAAGAATTATCGTTTTATATTATAATATAAAAGGAAGATTGCATATGTTGTGTGATTTAAGAACAATAAGATAGAGATTGTTGCAGTTTAGGGAAGAGATTGTGATACAGAGGAGGTTTAAGCCTCATAAAATTAATTGAGATCATATTGCATTTGAAAGACACAGACTGAAAAGAAGAATATATACTAGTTAAACATTTTTCTGAATAATCTCTGTGTGTTTGAAGTGTTTTTAAGTATGAACAGGCAGAGAGGTGACTGAAATTCCTGACATGTCGACAGTCTGGAAGAAGGTCTGCTTCAGGAGTGGTAAGAATCTGTCTATTTTAAGAACAAAAAGTTTCACAGGACAGATAGAAGCTAAAGAGTAAAGATATATTATAAGGTATTAAATAAATAGAAATATAAAGTAATGTAATAAGATAAATGAAAAAAGAAAATATACATGATAGAATAAGATTTAATAAATAAAAAGTGTTAATAAAAATGCAACTAGAAGCTATACTAATAAATATTAAGAAATAAAAAAATTGAAGCATGGAAATAACTACATATGGAGATTAATAGTTATATTGATCAGGAAATAAATTTACTAAATCAGTATTAAAAAAAAAAAAAAAAAAAAAAAAAAAAAGTTAATAATTTGAGTAAATAAAGAATTAGAAGAAAAAAACTTTGATGAATATGGATTAATGGAAGAGTTAATGATCAAATGTTTAAGAAAAATAAGTTTAAAGAAAAATGAATTAGGAAAAGCTAAGAGATAAAAATGCTAATTTTTTAAAAGGAAAAGAAGCATAGGAAAATGGAGAAAAAAGAAGTTCAAACATTGTTTAATAGAATTAAAAAGAGAAGATGTTTAAAAATACATATTAAACAAATAAGATAAAAATTAGAAAAAACAGTAACATTTTGAAGAAAACAAGATTTGGCTTTAAAAGATAAAATTATGTTTAAGTGCAATAAAAAATTGTTGTGGAGTAAGTTGACTGTTGTCATCTGTTTTAAAGTCAGCTACAGGCTGTCATCTGAGCCAACAGCTATTTGTAGTAAAAGCAGTGAGTTAGATGTAAAGCATAGACACTGAGGAAAAATGAAAGAACATCATAGTGAGTTCAAAAATTATATATAATTAATATTTTATGTACCTAAAAATTAATTTAAAATTAAAAATTGCATTTCAGATTGGAAAAATGCTTAAAGTAAACAAACATGTAGAGTTAAAATAGTACTATGAACTTGAAGCTATTGTAGTAAGGATTTTGAACAGGTATATTAGACATTAGGCCACCATATAGTACTGTTGAAATAAAACGGGTATGGAAATGTTAGGGAAATTAAAATAGTGTAAGATGTAATGTAACTAGTGAGGAAACACTAGAATAAATTAGGAAAAATAAGTGAAGCACAATCTGAAGCCAAAGAAATTATCTATAAGAACATTTAACAAATAGAAAATTAAGCATAGTTACATATGATAAAAATGATTGAGAATTAGAAAAAAATAAGTTGTTAAACAGCAAACAAAAATAGATAAATTAATTAATTAATTTAAAAAAAATGGATAAAAGGAGTCTTCATTTGATGAAGGAAAAAATGGAAAAAAAAAAAAAAAGAGTCATGAGCTAAATTCTATATATATATTAATTAAGAGGACATAGGGATGAACTTTGGGGGACTGTAGTCTTGTACCTACCAGACATCTCTGAGTATACTGGCAAATGGAAAGGTGTGTGGAAAAACACAGAGCAAAATGGCTGTGGACACTTGTGACATGAACTTTTTGCCCAGGATTTACTGAGGACTGAAAAAGCTACATTTGTTCAGAGACATTCAAAAGAGACACTAACAAGAGACTGATGAACTGATCAAAAAGAAAAAACGCTCCACCAGAACTTTACATCAGCTGAGTCAAAGAAAGAAGCCAGCCCAAAGAGAGAGGGGGAAACACTGTGCCCTGATATGAAGCAATTTCAGGACAACATAGAAAAGACTGTTGCACCAATCTGTGAGCTATAGTTGTCTCAGGTTGCGAGGGGGGATAGTCTGACAGTCCATCTCAAAGTAGATCCTAAAGTCCAAATTAAGTTCAAGCATTACAGAAGGAAAATTAAGAACAAAAGTTTAGCTACCCATTCTTGTATCAAATCAGACTCCTGTCAATTTGAGAGAGAAATTATTATCATGCAAATTTTTAAGTAAGAAAAAGTGTAATAAGGAAATTCTACAGTGAAATTTTAAATGCGTAATGATATATTATGATGAATGTTAAATAATTTAGGTTTAAGTTTTAATAGGTTTAATCATAAAAGTCCTTAAACGTTGAAGGATAAATTACAATGCAGCAGATTGACTAAAGAAAAAGAGAAAAAGCGTTTGATAAGGCAATAGATAATTTGGAGAATAAATAAGATTGGAATAAAGTATTTAAGTTAAAATTAAGTAAAGAAAATATCTTACCGTAATCATGTTATGAATGGCCTAAATCAAGATTGAATATTGAAAACTGGAAAGAGATTCAAATTTAGAAAAATGATTAAAAAAAAAATGATACAGTTAAAGGGAAGATTGAGATAACAATTGAAATAAATTCATAAGAGATGGTAAGGTCAAAAAGTAATACTTCTAAATTACTATAAAACAAATTGAAAGAGAAAAGTGTTTAAGAAAAAGATATTGTTTCACATGAAAACATATGTGAAGAATAATTAGAAGAAAATAGTAAGGAATAATAGTTAAAACAGAGCAAAGAGAAATTTACAAAACATACAGTAAGTTTTAGTCAGCTGATAAAAAAAGTGCATCAAAATTGTATAAACAACTAGTTTAATGGGAGTGCCTTAGGAAATAATTATGAGCCAAAAGAAAATAACTCAAAGACAAAAAAGGAATTAATATATAGATCAGAAAATAAATTAGTAAAAGAAAGAAGTGTCAAATTCCAACTAAATGATTGTCATTACAGGACTGAGATGCAGATAAAATCAGCCAGCATAGTCAGGGTTAAAATTAAATCAGATGTAGATCTGCCCATAAAGAAAACCACTAAATGCTGAAATAGGTATAAAACTCTATTGAAAAGTGTAAAAATATAAGAGCACTAATAGAAACATCTAGATACTGTAATATACAATCTGTCCCAGACATTTCTATTTAAATTTTAATTTAAAGGAGTAATAAATTATAAGTAACTAATAATATTTAATTGAAGTTAATGTGATAATTAAAATAAATGGTTAATCAAGACAGATAAAAGAGGCTTAATGTTGATAATAGATTTAAGAGCAATCAATAGGAGAAGATTTTCCAGCTAAAGTTCATATTGTATGTAGAGATATGTTCTTTTGGATGGTAAATACATTAAGTGCTTGGTTTCTATTGAGTTTATTTTAGGTAACTACCAGAGGAGGGTAGAAACTTGTTTGTACTTGTGTAGCTTGATGAATAGCAAACACTGTATACACCAGAATGCATAAAAGGTTAAAATTAGGGAAAATATCTTAGGATGAACACTGTCACAATAGGTGGATGATTGAATTATCTGCAACTTCACAGAGCTCTAGTTCAATTAAAAGACTTGACTGGAGACCATTGCTCCAAACAGTGAGATGATGACTGTTTTTGGTGTTGACTGGATAGAGAATTATTCTGTAAACAAGCACAGTTGAGAAACTATGATGAGTAGATGATTGGAGATGGTAGCAAAAGCAAATTATGAAGCTGGAACAGTTATTACATCTGTGACAAGATAAGTAGTTCCTAAATTTTGAAATGCCTTCAGAAATAAGTTCATAGAGGGTTTGCATTCATGAAGTTAATAAGGGATCAATAAATAAAAAACATCTAAAGGAGTATGAAAAATTATGAATAAAGCAAAAGAGAGAATAATTGTATTATGCTCAATTACCAGAAATGGCTGAAAGAGATGAAGATGATCCATCAAGACCAACGCTCAATGAAATATGTGAAAATAATAAACTTAATGGGATTAATTTGCTAACAAGTGCATTGGTGAGTCATGGCATGGAAACTGACAGAAACAGGCATCTAACACTGCATCGCATGAACTGCTATTGGGTCGACCCTTGAAAGAAACCTTGCAAGAAACAGCATGACCCTTGCAAGAAACCACAGGAAACTTTGCATAAAACCTGGCATATAATCTCACCTATAACCTTGCATAAACCTCTTGGAATGGTTTGCAAAGATGTCTAATGCAGTAGGGACTTTAATAAAGAAACAAATAATTGCCATGTGCAAAGCGATATCTGTGCAGGAAACCAGAAAGGAGCCATGTGAGAGAGCAGTGATACAAGGTCCAATTGGTCTAGGTGATTGAGTCTATCTGTGGATGCTCTGGAGAGCTCAGAAGGAAAGGACCATCTCTGGATGAGGGCAAATCCAACAGCTGCCAAAGTGGATGCCATGGATGAGGTACCAATGCCTCAAAGGAGCGAAAGGGAACAACTCCAGTAAGGGAAAGCTGACTGGAAACAGAGGAGCCTGAATATTCCAAAGCTCTGAGCTACTAAATGCAACGTGTGGAAGCAAGAGGTTATCAGAGCAAAGAAAAGAGTGATTCTGATAATGTGCCTGAGTACCACATACAGCAGTGCCACAAGTCAAGGGATGATAAATGCACAACTGCAGATTTCAGAACTCAGACTCTTAACCACACATCTCCATAAACATCTTTTCAAAGCTTAATGAAGATGCTGATAGCTTACAAGAAGAGAAACAAGGATGAGCAAAGATCAAGATCAACATTTGATGCTTTTTACGTTTGCATATTGATTTTGTTTGCATATTGCTTTCATGGTACCTATATATAATATCACTTCAGTATATTCTACATGAGTGTGAAAACCAGCAGCTAGCACTGAACCAACTGAATACTTATGCTTAAAACTTTATTGTCTTTGATGTGTTAAGAGAAAAACAGAGTACAGTCTTTTACTTCCTTCAAATCATAAGTGACAGGGAAGATGTTTGGCTGGACTTCTGTCAAAGTACAGTGGCATAATCTAGTCAATTGATAACAGCTATGTGGCTAATATCAGTCACTAGATAGAGGTAATTAAGAGAACTGGATTATAAAATTGCACTTTGGGTTAAAAGACAATAATATTAAGACTAAAGTCTTAAGAGGAGGGATTGAAGAAGATTTCTATTCTCTCAGTGTAAAGTATTTTCTAAGTGTAAAGTAGTTAATTTTCTCTTCACAAAATGTATGTAGTGTTTGCAGCAAACATGCCAGCGTGTGTTAAAAATACAGTGATATGTCTGTGTAAGATGAGTATGCCTACAGGAGCAACACTATGAGAAGGCTGAGTGACTGATTGTGTAGAATAACTGAATATGTAAAGCACTGATTATATAGGTTAAATACTTCTATGAAGCTATATGTGTCAGAAGTTAGAATGAGTAACATATTATCAAGTGATTATGCTTTCATGACAATGTATGTAAACACTTAATCCTTTGCATAAGTTGCATCTATACTTTGCTGACATAGACCTGTAACATCTCTGCTGACATGAGCTAGTGGGCTGAGAGCCAAGAATAGCAGGACCCCTTAGACTAAAAAACCTATTCAAAAATGGTCAAGAGTTAAAAAGAGACTTAGGGGTGTGTCAAATAATCCTGTATAAAGATTGTAACAAACACAGATACTTCAGAAGGTGCAGGAGAGACTTCAGAAGGTGTCCAGGAGAGACTTCAGAATGCTCTGGGGTCTGCTCTGCTCTTTCTCGGCTTTATTATGGAGAATAAAGTCTATTTTCTGATATTCAAAACCTCTGGTCTGATAATTTGTAATTAATGAGAAGTCAATATTTACGACAGTATGAATTAACTCCATAGGGATCTATTGTTTTGAATCAAGAATGTCATCATGTTGTACAGTCAGCTACATGCTCTTTAATCACGTTCACTGTGAAAGTGCCTAAAGCACACAAAGCAAGCAAATCGGGACTGACTAAAACACTCAGAACACCTTTGCAATTGCACATTTGACACCCACACACACCATCAAAGCAGCTACATATGCAGTCAAGCACCACTCACATTTATTTCTAAAACTCAAGCTGTTTAAATAAAAATGGTCTAAAGTTATCCTTTAAGTTCCAACAGTGAGGCAAAATTACACTTGTTTATTTATTTATTTTACAAAAAGTGCATCCTCTGAGACCTGACATTAGGAAGCAGGTGGAGATCAACCACACCTGCCTGAAATAACAACTGACTCACATGGCAGTATTTTTTAAACCTGTAAAACAGTGTGAAATAGACTGGCTTTGTGTGTGTAAACAGCATCAGGAGCCGAATAGCAGTGTGTGAACGTCTCTTCGTCTGCAGCCAACACCCAACACCCTCCTGATCAAAAAAGCATCCTCGCTAGTGTTTCCACCCTCCCTCTTGCTCTTTCTTCCATCTTCTCAGATGAAGCTCGGATTATATCTGCATCCCTGCTGCATCACAGAGGTTGTGGACAGACTGTTTTGAGTTGTTATACAGGGGTTTTATAGCTCTAACAAAAAAGAGCTAAGAGTGTGAGTGGAAAGTGGGTCCGGTTCAAGCTTTTGTACTAAAACTAAACTGAAACTAACAGCCGGCGCTGCTGCTGTTGCTGCATTGAGCTCATGGGAATCATGGGAAAGTGGGGCATGACTGATACACAGCGGAGAGGTGGAATGGAGGAGGATTGCTCTTCTCCTTTCTCTCTCTCTCACACACACATGGACATTTTATACACCTGCATAAACATGCATCTCAAACCACGCACATATGCAGAGCTTGGCATATGCGAGACTTCACAGTCACAGCTGTGGAAGTGTGAATGTACTTGTGTTAATTCCCACCATTGATTAGATTTTTATTTTACCCGTCTTTGCCTTGAGCAAAAGCTCACTGCTGCTGTGAATTTATGAGAAGTGCTAATTAAAGAAGCTCTTAAGATATTTCATAAATCAGTCATAACACCACTCTAGTTATTAAAGCCAACTCTGGTTAATTTCCCAATTTAATTTTATTGCTAAACTACTGACTAACTGTAATAGGGCAACGTGAAAGAATGTCCATGCATTAAATGTGCTTTGTTGCCCATATGTGGGCAGATTTAATGAAAGTTTAAAAAAAATTATACCTTGCCTGACCTGGTTGTCTGAGAAAACTCAGAAAATTTACACATGGATTGAAAGACTCTCTTCTGTTCTATGACACCAAAAACAAATTTGAATACGATTGTAAAGACAATGTCAAATGAAGTGTTCTGTACTTTAATGTCAATGTGTAATGAAAACAAAAGGGATAAAGGCTGACACTACAGAGCACTGTGCACCAGAACAATATGACACAGAAATAGTTTCTTCCATCAGGCAATTCATCTCATGAGCTATACAATATTATATTTGTGCATATATCTTAGCTTAGTCAGTACTGAAGCCAAAGTTAACAAATTAACTTACAGTAACAGTCCAAAAACTAGTACAGCCAAATGTACATGTTATAGGAAAAAATTAAATACAAATTTACAAAAGAGAAAAAATCAAGTGAAGCAAAACATTTTTGTAAATTGTGTATATTATGTAAATTAATGTAAAAATGTTAATTATTTTTGCAATATTTTGCTTGAAGTTAATTGTATTATCTTTCAATTTCTAAATATGTTTGGTGACTAAAATATGATTTTATATAAATGTATCTGTTTAATAAATCTCTTTTGTTTAAATGCACCAAAATACATTGCCTATATTCACTGAGAAATAGATCAAAATATTCATCTTCAAAATAGGATGTACTCACTTAAGCTGAGCACTATACAAATGTTTATTTAACAACACACTTTACATGCCAATTTGCACATAACAGCTGCACATATAACATTGTATATAGTAATATTCCTGTACATACACTTTTCAGTTTGTACATTTGCACGTACTACTTACTTTTATTTTAAAAATATATTTATCATATAGTTTTTGTCCTGTCTCTGTCATTCTGTTGCACTGTAGATGCTTTGTCACAAAAACAAATTCCTCGAATATGTGAACATTCCTGGTAATAACGCTCTTTCTGATTCTGATTCATTCATTCATTCATTTTCTTTTCGGCTTACTCCCTTTATTAATCAGGGGTCGCTACAGCGGAATGAGCCGCCAACTTATACAGGATGTTTTACGCAGCGGATGCCCATTCACCTGCAACCCATTTCTGTGAAACACCCATACGCTCTTACATTCACACACATACACTGCGGACAATTTAGCTTACCCAATTTACCTGTATATATGTCTTTGGACTGTGGGGGAAACCCACAGAGCAAACTTAGGTGAACACGGGAAAAAATGCAAACTCCACACAGAAATGCCAACTGACCCAGCCGGGGCTTGAATCAGCGACCTTCTTGTTATGAGGCAATCGTGCTATCTACTGCGCCACCATTTTGCTGATTCTGATTCTAATATTCATAACTAAAAATTACTTGCTTAACTATTTATTAATGAACTGCTTTGATAACATGCAAAACTAAATAATTAATACACCAGCACTTTCACAGTTTAAAAAAAGTGTATGTACTTTACCACTCATCGAAGGAATGAACATAATATTTATTTGGATGTTTGTAGCAAATTAACCCCCTTATATAGCGACTGGTAACGTAATTTAAAGAATGAATAAGTGGGTTGCATGATTGCCTCACAGCAAGAAGGTCTCTGGTTCGAGCCCCTGCTGGGTCAGTTGGCATTTCTGTGTGGAGTTTGCATGTTCTCCTCGCGTTCGTGTGGGTTTCCTCTGGCTGCTCTAGATTCCCCCACAAGTTTAAACACATGTTATAGGTGACTTGGGTTAGGTAAATTGTCCGGAGTGAATGAGAGTGTATGGATGTTGTGTGGGTTGCAGCTGCAAGGGCATTCGCTGCGTAAAACATATGCTGGGTAAGTTGACGGTTCATTCCGCTGTGGTGACCCCTGATTAATAAATGGACTAAGCCGAAAAGAAAAGGAATTAATTAATTTTTTAAACAATCCTGCTGCAAACATAATCCTGCTTCACTACTACACTTGTTTTTTTTTTTTAAATAAAATCCAAAATCAAGATAACATGTTAAATCAGAATCTGAAATATATTATGGCATATTTCAAAAAAAGTAAAGATGATATAGTATTAAAAAATGATTTATTTTGATTATGTATTTAAATAAATTGATCTTACACTTCATATTTTAAGAGTTTTCATAGTATATGTAGTAACTCTGATACTTTTACCATAAACCAATATATCTACCATTTGGTAGGGGTTGATATTTTAAAAATTAGGTCATATGTTGAAAAAAATGCCATTAAAAAGTGTGTTAACTAGCGACATTAAGAGTTATAAATACGATTTTTTTTCTTGGTGGGGCAGTTAAAGTGTCAAAAGTGTACCTCTACTTGGACGTGATGCTTTACGTTGTTTAGCTTTTTTTGTTATAACAGATATTGTAGCTTCTACATGAGGTATTTTAAAAAATGGCAGCCTTGTGACTTAATAAGAACATTCTTCTGCATCATTAGACTGCTGCCTGATTTTTATTTTCAGGCCACTGCATGATCAAGCCCCACTAATTCTTTGATTCATCTGTACCTTATTTATCTATTTGCTTTCTTTATGATGTTACTTAAATGAGGCGAAGGTTAATTATGCATAATTGTGCGTATTACCCAGCACAGCTGAGGTTAGGCTTAAAGATAACTGTGTGTGTGTGTGTTGCGAGGGACACACTCACGCTCCTCT